TATTTATTTACTTGTTTATTTATTTTTTTATACAGTATAAACGGTATTTATTAATAAATATATTTACGATATTGAAAAATAGTTTGTTTTTTTTTTTAAAAAAAGTAGTTCAACTTAATTTTCATCACGTGTGCTCAAATATAATTTAACAAAAATACAAAAGTTTTAGATTAATGAAATAATGGAAAGCCAAAAGAAAAGCTTTATTTTCACCAACTTTGTCACGTACGAAACAAAAGGGGAGAAGAAAAGTATCTCTTGTGCTTTTTGTTTTTTTTTTGTTAGCTTCTTCTTTCTTTTCCAATGAAAAGAAACAACATTCCGCATGTTCTATTTTGTCATGCATCCCATCGAGGTTCACCAGGCTCACAATTTTCGTGTAAAAGCTTTTGTTTACCATTTTTTTTTCATGTTACTCTACCTGGCATGTGCTTTTTATTAACCATTCCTTTCACTTTATTTCCACGCATTTATTTTTTTTTTTCAATAAAATTTGGCAATCTTCTAGTTTGTATATATATATATATATATATATATATAAATTATAATTAAAATATTTTTTCAAGCATGAGGATTTTAATTACACTCTTGAATTTAAATTAAATTTATATCTCTCCTATATACTAAAATACATATAAATAAACATAAAAAAAAAATATTATTGGTTTTTCCATGAATGTTTTTTAGTGATCGTCAGTTTAATAAAATTTACTTTCAATGTAAAACATTCCAGCTCGTTAATCGCTTGCACTACATATAACGAAAGTAATTTATTTCCGCGCAGATTGATAGCACTGTCTACATATGCACGAACATACAAATACTATAAAAAAAATAAAAAAAAAAAAAAAAAGATGGTCTCGCGGGATATGTTGTAAGGTAAATTATCCATGAATTTACTCACTCTATATATAGTACAATTGGTAAACGGTTTAGTATCAATTGCAATTTGAAAAAGCTTTCTATTAATAATAATATATAACAGGTAAAAAATAAATTTTCGTAAACCAATATTTTTTAACTCCGAATTATTTATTATTATTTATTATTTTAGTTTATTTATTTATTTATCTATACATTTTCAATCATACAAAATTCAATGACTACCAGCCTAAAAATAATAAATAAATAAAGGTACGCATGTTCTATGACTCTAATAAGAGTACTAACAGCGGAGATTAGTTCATGAGCTATGCTTTACAATAAAAAAAAAAAAAAAAGAAAAGCAATCAGTATTACTTATTATTTGTTTCTTTATAATATTCATGAAAAAAAATAATAATATAATATAATAATAATAGTCTCTCTATACTATAATAAGATTTCGCCGCTGTCTCCAGTATGGGTCATTCCATATCAAGTGCAACCAACCATTGTACTAACAATGTCAAAAACATGGGTTGGTTACACTTGATATGGAATGACCCATATATATATATATATATATATATACCTATATTAGTATTTTAGTTCTTATTTTAATCTCAAACCTACAGGCGAATTGACGTGGAACGACCCATATATCTACCTATTTATTAGTATTAAAACGAACATAACCTCAAAATTCAAGGTCGTAGGTCTCCAGGACTCAAAGTCATGGATCAAACATAACTTTAAAATTCAAGGTCGTAGGTCTCCAGAATTCAAGGCGTTAGTTCAAACATAACCTCAAAATTTAGATAAAATTTTAATAATTTTAATACTTGCAAACCTTAAAAAAATTGATCATTAAAATGGAAAATAATAGGGGTAATACGATCTTGTTCTGTCTCTTTATCGCGGATTTTAAGGAATTCTTGGAGAAGGAAGGCATAAGGGGGGTTTCGATAGATCACCTGATTGATATCATGATACTCGCCTATGCAGATGACATTGCTCTCTTATCTGATTCTGCCTCTGGTATGAGAAAAATATTAAAAGCTTTATATAAGTACTGTCTTTTGAATAATTTAGAAATTAATATCAATAAAACAAAAATTGTGATCTTCAGAAAGGGAGGTCATGTGCACAATAAAAAATTTGGATCCTTTACATATGGAGAAAATAATAACATTGAGATAGTTTCAAATTACATATATCGTGGTGTCTCTTTTAGTAATTCGTCAGTTTTTTAAATGCAGAAAATTCGGCTATTTCCAATACAAAAATCGCTTTAAATAACACGATTTCTCTGATAAACAGAATTAAATTGGATTTCTGGCTGCCAATAAAAAAACTCCTAGATAGCCTGGTTTTAAGTGTCCTAAATTATGCAATATCCGTATGGGGTTTAAGATACTTTCAAGAAATAGAAAAAATTCAATCTCTATATTATAAAAAAATATTGAATATACCACGTGCCACTCCAGACTATGCCATAAGATTGGAAACTGGATCCAGTAAATTATTAGTAAAGTGTTTCAAATTAGTTTTAAATTATATAGAAAAAATTTTAGCTATGGAAGATTATAGGTACCCAAAAATCTGTTTCTTACAACTGAAAAAAATAGCAAAGAAAAAAGATATAAAATTATATAAATTTAACTGGTTTATGCAAGTGGAAAAAATATTTGAAACGATAAAGAAGGAAAACGAACTAGATAATATTAACCTTGAAACAATAAATCGATGTAAAGACACTTGGATTTCCGATTATAAAAAGCTGTTGTATGATGAAGATGTATCACAATTGCAGGAGTCACAATCACTACAGATGTTGTCTTATTTACCGAGATATGAAGGACTTCAAAAATATTTGTGTTTGAAAATCCCATTAAAATATTTCAGATTAATCGCTCAAATAAGACTGTTGAATAATTATAGTGGCAGGATTTTAATAAATAACAAATTAATAAACTTATAAATGGTAAATGTCTGTGGCTCATCTATCCTAGAAAAGGGATTTCATGTTTTAATAGAATGTGTATGTCATAATAAAGAAAGAGAACATTGTTTGGGCAACCTAGTAGATGAAACCGCAAGAAAGAACGTTTCGACGCCTCCCGTTGATAAGATGCCCGTTCATTTGTCAGAATAATAAAATGCCAACTCGAGCTCACTTCAATATGAAGCTAGTTCAATTGTCAAAATAATAAAAGGCTATCTCAGTTTCAGAATAATATAATCCTATCTCGCATTAAATTCGAATTCAAGTTTTCGTAAATTAAAAAAAAAGTTTAAGTCGATCAGAATATTAATTCATACTTTTTAATGATTAATTAGTGATTAATAATTATTAATAAAATAAGAAATAGAATAAAAAACAAATAATAAAGTAAATGAAAATAAAAAATATTATTAAAAAAGAAAAAAATTAATTTAGCCTTGAATTATTTATTACTAATATTATTTTTTTTATAATAATTTTTTTATTTTGTTAATCATTAATTAATCATTACAAAATATTAAATAATATTCCGATCGAGTTAAAAATTTTTTATTTTACGAAAACTTGAATATTTTTAACTCGATCGGAATATTATTTAATAGTTTGTAATGATTAATTAATGATTAACAAAATAAAAAAATTAATAAAAAAATTATAATAAAAAAAATAATATTAGTAATAAATAATTCAAGGCTAAATTAATTTTTTTCTTTTTTAATAATATTTTTTATTTTCATTTATTTTATTATTTGTTTTTTATTCTATTTCTTATTTTATTAATAATTATTAATCACTAATTAATCATTAAAAAGTATGAATTAATATTCTGATCGACTTAAACTTTTTTTTTAATTTACGAAAACTTGAATTCGAATTTAATGCGAGATAGGATTATATTATTCTGAAACTGAGATAGCCTTTTATTATTTTGACAATTGAACTAGCTTCATATTGAACTGAGCTCGAGTTGGCATTTTATTATTCTGACAAATGAACGGGCATCTTATCAACGGGAGGCGTCGGTTTTTTTTGAAATTTTATATAATCCGCAATGTAAAACGGTTAAAAAAATTCACCAATTCGTTGAATCGATAGCAGATAAATAAAATAAAAAATAATTGTACAATAAATAATGTAATACGATCGCAACCACTTTGTATAGACTTATGTCTTAAAACAAATAAATATTATATAATAGGGATAATAATATAATAATAATATAATAATAATATAAAAATAATAGAATAATAATATAATAATATATATCGAAAACAATAGCCAGACAAAAATATCTTCGTTTCCAATTTTATTTTTTCATCAGTTGTAGAATGAACTGCGAGTTTACTTTTAAGCTCGATGAAATTGTCGGCTTAATCAATAAGCGACCGAGAAGAGTGATTAAGACCCAGGCTTAATTTTTTTTAAACCTCTCTCTATATCCGAAACGTTAAAAAAAAAGTTGTCTGAATTTAATTTTTTTTGTCGTTGGTTTTAATTATAATTTTTTTTTAAACTTTTTTTTTTTAAATATCTGAAAGAAATATCACGTTGAAAAAAAAGTTGAATAATTGAGTATAAATATAGGAACATATCAATCAAGTAGTTTAACGTCAGCGCTATATAGTTTTGTGCAAATTTACCAGGGTGATTTTTTTTCTTTTTTTTTTTTTCTCTATTGTGATGTATTAGAAAGTTTCGCAGTGCAAAAGTATCGATAAATCTTGCGCGTAAAATTTAAACGTCTGCCAAATAGGAAACAATGCATCACGAAGAAAAGAGCTTTGTTGAATTTAGAATCGTACACTTTATATATACAAAGTCGAAAAAAAATTTTTTTGAAAAAAAATTGAAAAAATTATTTGATTGAATTTAAAAATAAAATAATTTGTGAATGAGAAAATTTGTGAAATGTTGATGGAAAATAATTTTAAGCATTTTATTATTATTATTATTATTATTATAAAATGACCGCAATGAAATTTTTTCGTCTGTGAAAAATGTGTAATTTACATATTATTTTAGCTTTTGAGTGAAATTCAAACGTGGTTAATTTAATTAATGTTTCAAGCTAAGTTTTGAACAAGTTTTAGTACAACGTGTTGGTTTCATGGCTTACAATTCTGGATAAACGTACCTGCTGTACCTTGCACATTCATATACTATTTCTGGAATAGCGTTGGGTGCTCTGATTCGAGGATAATTACAGCGCCGAAATGAATTGAAATAAGCGTCTGCTTTTCCCAGAAGTCGTCCCTGTAACATATTTAAACGTGAATTTATTACTATCTGTTTATTATAAATGGGGGACGACAAATAATTATATATATAACATTTATTTCCAAAATTGTAAATAAAATATTTTCACAAATGTTAGTTCGTTTTCGATTTAAAAAAAAAGTAATATTATTCGTAAGAAAAATTATATTTATAAATATATAAAAACAAAGTTATAATCAGACAAATGTTTTATTTGAACCAAAGATAATATATTTGAGTTAAATAAACGTATATTTGTCTTACAGTCTACTAACCTTAGATTTGGCGTAAATAAAAATTTGTATTTAAAATTTAAATCAAATAAAGTCATCGTGGCTGTGAGGTCAAAGTATTTGACTCGCGACCCACGGGTCTTGGGTTCGATTCCCCATGTCTGCGAGATTTTTCCAAATTATTTTTAAGTGTTTCAAATACTATAATTGAATTAAGTAAATATTTATTAGCTGTGAGACAAATATATCATTTCTCTGGGTGTAATAATAATAATAATTAGTATAAAAATAAAAAAAATTATTTTCGTTTTATTTGCCTTATTTAAAAAAATTATTATTATATTATTAATATAATAATTTATATTTTATTGTTTACGAAACAATGTACCTATTATTTAGCAACCGAACAAATGTTTTATTTAAACCAAATATAATATATTTGAATTAAATAAACGTATATTTGTCTCATAGCCTACTACACTGAAAAAAGGGTTTGGTATTGACAACCAAACGTTTGGTTGGTATAAAAGCAACCAAATTTTTTTTGTTGAATCAATAAAATTTTGGTTGTTCCAATCAAACTTTAGTTAGGACAACAAAAATCCTTTTTTTCTAATTTTGGTTGTGTCAAACAAATTTTGATTGAGACAATTAAAATTTTGTTGATTCACCAAAAAAATTTTGGTTGCTTAAATACCAACCAAATGTTTGGTTGTCAATACCAAACCCTTTTTTCAGTGTAGCCTATTTATTTGGCGTAAATAAAAATTTATTTGAATGAAATAAATATTTATTTGGCTCTGAGACAAATAAATCATTTTTTTCCAATGAACAGATAATAATTATTGACATTTCTCGACATGCATTTTTTTTTAATTAAAAAGAGATTTATTTTGTTTTTCTCGAAAATAATGTACGCGTTTAAATAAATATATTTTTCAAAGAAGTAAATTTTTTTTTTTTTTTTTGAAAAATGCAAAACATGTATATCGCTTGTGAATCTAGAATCTTTTACCAGACGAGAAAGGCAGCAAGAGCGAATGTAAATTTTTCTATGCATTTATTCATTTCGGTCAGCGACGTTTTAATACACGGGGTGTGTCCTATGCACAGAGAAAAATAGCACCGATTAATATCTTGGATGCATAACTACAGAATAGTCATTTAGATATTAATTTTCAATATCTGGGTTATTAAAATTGAAAAAACAACAAACTTTTCCAGAATAATTAAAAAAATATAATTATTTTCAAATATTATATTTTTAATTGTATTTTATTATTTTTGAAGACTATTTTTGCTTTTGCAAAACTTAGATATAAAAAAATAAAACTTGAAACAATTATTTAACAGTAAATATGCATATTGTTCATTTGTACATTTTCTAAAGGTTTAATATTAAAATTGTAATATTATGTTCTCTCGATGTACTTTCGGCAGCATCATAAAAAATGAAAATTTCATTTACAAAGGAAAGTATTTTATATATTGGAGCACCCAGTGTATGTATATGTGTATGTATGTGTGTGTGTGTGTGACTGTAACTCCGTGGGAACTTTAAAACGCTTTTCACAGAATTTAAAATCAGAAAGAGGCTTAGAATGCAAAGTCTGAATCTCTAAAGAATGGATGCTTCAAGAAAAGTGTGGGTATTATTCATTCATGGAATTTTTTTCCCCACCTTTTTTACCTTACAATTTTTCAATCGATGGCTTCTCTCCAATGAAATTGACAGCTTCAACGAGCGATATTTCAAATGATTACAACCTTCGTATCCGATATTGGAGCATAGCTTTTCTGAGTTCCATCAAAAAGGATAACGATTTCTACAGTTGCCGAATTTTTTTTCTGTCAGATTCTATACCTTTAGTTGAATGAATTTTTATATTTGGTCAGTTTTTCAATTTAACACTAGTTTCAGTTCTCTGAATTTGATACAAAAATGAAATTTCAAAATTTCGCAATTTTTTTTGTCCAATTTGGTCCATTGGACGCTGTGGGTCCTATCAATAAGCATCAGATACATTTTTTTACGAGTATTATGTGGAAATGACTTTTCTGCTATGCTCGGGAGTTCATTTCAAAAATTTAAGATTTGGAATTTTTTTTTTCACTTTGGTCCATTATAGCTTGGATGCTGTGGCGGGTCCTTTCAAAGGTGCCCGATACATTTTTTTAGAGCACTATTTTCAGAATAACTCTCCCGCAATTCCCGAGGTTTTTTTCCCGAAAATTAAAAATTTCGAAATCTTTTGTCTAATTTGGTCCATCGTAGCTCGGATGCTGTGGATCCTATCGAAAAGTGCTCCATACATACTTTGTAGCGACCTGAAGATAACTCTCCTGCTATTTCCAAGGTTTTATCTTAAAAATTTTTAAATTTGGAAATTTTTGTCCAATTTGGTCCATCACAGCTCGGATGCTGCGGATCCTATCAAAAGAGTATTCCATATATTTTTTGTTGTGCAGTATCTGAAGATAACTTTGCTGCTATTCTCGAGGGTTTATCTCGAAAATTTCAAAATTCAAAGATTTTTGTCCACTTTGGTCCATTGCAACTCGGATGCTGTGGGTCCTATCAAAAAATGCGCACTACATTTTTTGTAGAACACTATTTGGCGATAAATCTCCTGCTATTACCAGAAGTTTATCTCGAAAATTAAAAATTTCGAATTTTTTTATTCACTTTGGTCCATTGTAGCACGGATGCTGTGGGTCCAAACAAAAAGTGCCTTATACATTTTTTATAGAACACTATCTTGGGATAATTTTCCTGATAATACCGAAGTTTTATGCCGAAAATTTCTCAATTAGAAATTTTTTTTTCCAAATTGGTCTATCACAACTCGGATGCTGTGGGTCCTATTAAAAATTGTCTATTTACTTCTTTTGTAGAACACTATCTGGGGATAACTTTCCTACTATTTCCAAGGGTTTATCTTGGAAATTTGAAATTTCGAAATTTTTTGTCTACTTCGGTTCATCATAGCTCTGATGCTGTGGGATTGGTCATAAAGTGCTCCATATATTTTTTGAGGAGCAGTATTTAGAGATAACTCTCCTGCTATTGCCGAGGTTTTATCTCGAAAATTTCAAATACTTTATCAAAAAGGAAACGTTTTTTAAAAATTTCTCCACTTTGGTCCATTGCAGCTCAGATGCTGTGGATCCTATCAAAAAGTGCTCCATATATTTATTGAAGAGCACTATGTAGAGATAAGTCTTCTGCTATTCCTAACACTTTAATCTCGAAAATTAAAAATTTTAGACATTTTTTGTCTAATTGAGTCTAACGTTGCTCGGATGCTGATGGTCCATTCAAAAAGCACCCTACACATTTTTTACAGAACACCATCTTGGGATAACTCTCTTTCTATTCCCGAAGTTTTATCTCAAAAATTTAAAATAATTCATCAATGAGTAATTAATTTTGAAAATTTTGTTCACTTTGGTCCATTGCAACTCGGATGCTGTGGATCCTATCAAAAAGTGTGCCCTACATCTTTTGTTTAGCACTATTTGGGTATAACTTTCCTACTATTTCCGAGGGTTTATCCCTCGGATAATTTTTTATCCCCTTTGGTCCATTGTAGCTCGGATGCTGTGGATCTAATCAAAAGTGCCTTACATATTTTTTATAGAGCACTATCTGGGGATATCTCTCCTGCTATTCCTGAGGTTTTATCTCAAAAATTTAAAATTTCGAAATTTTTTTTATCCACTTTGGTCCATTGTAGGTGTTTAAATTTTTTTTTTTTGAACTGTATTTTTTAAAACTATTAGCATATTTTGTAGAATATTTATTTTCAATTGTCTCAGATAATAAAAATTCATATTTTGATAAGTTTATTTTTTTACGTGCAACTAGTACGTAAATCATTCGCTATCTCTCGACAATTTCAAAATGTAAGAGAAATGAAGGAAGCACATGCATTTTCAGCAGAGCAATTAAATAAAGATTTGTCAGACGATGGGCAACTGGCCGTGAAAATATCGGACTTTTCTGGCGAATTACTTTTACACAAGTCTCATTATTATTCCGACGACGTTCGCCTACTCGAAAAGTTTAATTTACTTCTATAACGTATATTTGACTATTCTTTTTCCCTTGGAATATGGTGTACAAGCTTGTAGATTGGAGACTGGGGTTTTTTTTTCTTTTTTTTCCGAAAATATACGGTTCTGCTCAAAATAAGAACTTAACATTTTGCTTTATAATTACTTTAGGGAGCTTCTTATTAATTTTACAAGCATAACTTTCCTTTATATTCTCTTTCATATACATTTTTTTACTTCTTTTATGTTTTACTTTTTTCGTAAAATAAAAATTATATATTTTTTTTTTATCTTTTAAATTCGTTACATTACATTTTATGAGCAGAGTATTATGCTTCTTAAAATTTAAACTACTAAAATGCTTTCACTGTGATAATCTTCATTATAATGCAACAGGAATTTTCCTTCAGTATTTTAATATTCAAGGAGAATTTAATAATGATATTTTTTTTGTCTCCTTTTTTTCAAGTGTAATAATTATATTGTTGGAAGTATAAATATTATTTTATTTTTTTTGGTAAATTTTGTCTATGAATGGACTTGAATTAACTTTCAATAATCCTTTGATTGAATACAATTTCATTAGGTCGTGAATATATAAGGATTATATACAATAAATGATTTTAAATATCGATGAAGAATATCTCGATAAGACACTCAAGAGTTTCGGGAGGGGGTTGAACTTTACATTAGTTTCAGTGAGAAGCC